CCAAGTCCATCACTCTAACCATTGTACCACCTAACTGCCTTGAGATATATACAAAGCATGACAGACACATGACTTCTAGATATACATACACACGTGTTGTTGCATTGTGTACATATGCATGTACATGTGTGTGTGTATGCATTGTGGATGTGGATGTATACAGACATGCACACACTTCTATATATACTTTATATATATATTTATACACACCATATATGTAATACATACGTGTGTATATATATATACAAATATCACATGTATATGAATGTATATGTGTGCATATACACATACTCCTATATAAATATATATATACTTAAATACACTATGTAGTATAGATATATATGTATGTGTATGTGTTGACTATTTGTATATATATGTATATATACATATACAAGTGTGTATGTGTATATATATGTATATATACATATGCAAGTGTGTATGTGTATATATATGTATATATACATATACAAGTGTGTATATGTATGTGTGTATGTATACATACACACATACATTCTCCTATATATTTATATACTCTATATGTATATTTAGGGCAGATAGACATATGTGTATGTGTGTTGCGTGTATTTCTATGTATACGTGTGTGTGTACATACATGTGTGTTGCATACACACACACTTCTATATATACTTATATACTCTACATATGTAGTATAGATTGATAAACATGTGTGCGTTGTGTATATTTGCATGTATTTACGTGTGTGTACATATATCTACATATATATATATATATACTGTATATATATATACTGTATATATACAGACATGCATACATATTCCTGTGTGTATTTATGTACTTTCTTTCTGTCTCTCTCTGTCTCTCTGTCTCCTGTGGCTGTAAGAGAGATAAACAGACAAACAGATGTGTTTGTGGGTGTGATAGAAGGTAATATCAGAGGAGAGGCTTACCTACAACTTACACTTTGAGAGAATGGCACGGGCTACTGGAAAGTCAAGTGACTTGCCTATGAGCACACAGTCGATCTGTGGGAGGGGTGGTACTCGAATCCAGGTCTTAGACTCTAAGACTGGCTCTCTCTCCACGCCCTGCTGCATCATTTATTTGCTTTATGGATTTACATTTAAATAAATATATTTGCAAGAAGAAATACTCTCTTTAAAGGAGAGAGAGAAAGAAAGAGAGAGAGAGGGAGAGAGAGAGAGAGAGAGAGAGAGAGAGAGAGAGAGAGAGAGAGAGAGAACAAGCCTGGCTTTGCTATAAGGTTGAGGTTAAGCATTGAGAGGGATCAGCAATCTTGGGTGCTCAATGGGTACAGGCCCCAGACATTCTCATTTGTCTTGGTGCCATTCCCAGGTGTCCTGCCTGCTTCTGACCAAATCCCAGGGCTTCCTGCAACTGGGAAGTGAACAATGTTCCTAAATACGCCCATACACCCTCCTAGCACCCTCCTGCATGTAGAGTTGCTAATACAGATTAGAAAATCTATTCAGTCAACTGTCAATCACTTGGGAAGTAAGGGATGGGAAAACATCATGAAAAGAAATCAAATATAAGCCCTCAACCTCATTTATAATGTTTTTTTTTCTTTTTCTTTCACCAACCTCTCTCCCAGAGTTGTTAAGAGTCCACTAATTATATTAAATGATGTGTTTCTCTTCCCGTCCATTCTCGTGTCCCTTTCCTCAGTGGAAGAGCTAATGAGGCATAAATCCTCAGAAGATGGATAGGACACATGGAAGAGCTAAGGCTTTAAGGCAATATGGCCCAGTGTCAAGAGCATTGCTTCTAGGCTCAGAAGACCTGGGTTCCAATCTCACTTCTGATGCTACCACTGTGACCTTTGGCAAGTCACTTAACTTTCCTAGGCCTTGGTTTCCTCATCTGTAAAATGTGAGAGCTGAATTAGATGACCCCAAGGTCTGTTCCAGCTCTCCATCTATGACCCTAATATAGAATCTGAGTGATTTGTCATTTAATTAGTCAAGGCAAGAGGGGAAACTTCCCAGGTCATCCAGAAAGCATGCCTTTAGTGTACAGTCTCAAACCTCAGCCTGTCTGACAGCTGGGATTACAGGTGTGTGCTGCTAAGCCCAGCTTAGTGACTCCGCATTGGGAAGACAAACATCACAGGAAATTGGTGACTTCTCCATAACATGAACCCTAAAAATTGGATTTTGTTTCAAAGTAACAAACAGAAAAAATAAACTGATTTTCACCCCCACCTCAGATAAGTGTACTTTTTTTCTTTTCCCCTTCCTACCCCCTTCATTCTCCCCTTAAAAAAAAAAGAGAATTGCAATTTTTAGAAATATTGCTGTATAGAGAGCAGGAGAAAGTGGGGGAGGAGTAAAGGGGGGGGGGCAAAAGGAAAGGAAAGAAGGAAGGGAGAGGCCCATTCATCTTTGCTAACTGGTGTCAGGTATGAGAAAAATCTGATGTATGAGCTTCCTCACATAGACAATAAAAGATGCAAATAGATACACAATTCTCTTTGATGTGCTCTACATTCATAGAGCTAAAAAATAATTCCAAGTATTTACCTAAATTGAAAAAAAAAACTGTAGAGCCATATCCTGCCAAGAAACATGATACTGTATTGCTAAAAGGAGTTTGAACAAATGTTGTCCTGAAATAACCATGTAAGTTCAAGCACAAGTCATACACAAAGGCAGGAGGCCACAGCTGTAACTGGGGGGGGGGGGGGTGATGGGACTTTGTACCAGGGTGCTGAATTTAGAGAACCTGATTTAAAGGGTGCTGGGAGAACTTGTAGTCTTACAACAACTATTCAATAGCAGAATAACAAAAATAGGAAGCTACCAGATGACTTCAAATAGGGTATATCTCTCCCTTATCCCTCCTTTCTTCCTCCCTTATCCTCTGACCTTACAGGGACTCATGCCTATCTGTGTCCCAGGATCTGTGTTTCAGCTTTATCTCCACAACTAAAAATCCCTTTGTGTGGTTTGCCCTGGGAATAGTCTGTGGTATTTGACCTAGCTAGCAACAGGTATAGTAGTAGCAATAGTAGTAGTAGTAGTAGTAGTAGTAGTAGTAGTAGTAGTAGTAGTA